CGTTGTCTTCCCGTGGAGTCTTCGCGTTGCCTTTGTTTCCTGTGGTCGGGATCGTTAGCCGATTTGGGCTAATTGCCACTTATCGCTTCGCAGACGTCGGATTCCGGCGTGAACGGAACCGGCAATGTTACTTTTCCACTTAACGCCAATGCATTGGGAGAAGCCCGCTGTTCAGGAGCTCTCCGGGGGAGTAAAACCGGAGTGGAAAGAGAATGCTGCTGGCATGCGGCCTGTTTATGGTAATGGTGTACTGTTAAAACATTACAAATAAAATTTACAAATACAAGACGGTAAAATATAAACAAAGTTAAGCTATTAATCTTTCTCCTGAGTTCACCTCCTATGTCTTACTAAAATTAAAAAAAAAAAAAGCGCAAGAGAGCGTAAGTTTAGTCTGCCTTTGGGGTATGACGGCATTGTTACACACTGTAGACGATAAATATACCCAGTGCAGTACGACTCGTAGCCTGGATTTTTTTTTCTTTAATGTGCATCAGGCAGAAGTGATAAACAACCGCACGCCGGCACGGTGCTCGTCCAGGTCAAAATGGGCTGGAATGAGGATCCAAACCAAGGATCCCTGGGTTCTGTAACCCAGGGATCCTTGGTTTGCAATGCAAACAAAACAAATTCGTCTGAGGAATAATAAAAAAAAACGAATACAAAAAAAAAAGGTTAACATGGAAAGGTTGTCCTGATTAGCTACACATTATAATGCGAAAGGTAAGAAAGAAATAAAGTGGAAAGGAAATGGAGAATATAATGCCCGGGATCCAGCGATGTCAAAGTGCACGCACGTTGCACTGGTCACACAGGGAGGACGAAGTCATACTCTTATACGATTGCCTTTATGCGATCTGCCAGCATCGAATGACTCTTCTCAACTCTCCCTCTCTTTTCTTTTATTTCTCCTCCCCCCCCCCCTCCCCCCCCCCCCCTTTCGCCCTTGACCCGACTGGAGAAGCATAGGAACAAATGGAATCGATATTAATAAAACAAACATTTCCCCACCCCCACCTATCCAGGCGAGTTTCTGGAAGAGACCACAAAGGCAGCTTCCGGGCCTTGAACTCTCTCCGTGGCGCAACCCAGGCAACGAGTGCCTTTCTTCGACGTAGAGCATTGGAGAGTTGGAATTTTCCTGGCGACTTGGGTCCTGTTACGTTTCCGGCGGTTCGACGACGGAACGGCTGCCGAAGGAACAGATAGACTCTCTCTCTGCCGGAAGAACGATCTGTCTTTATTACAAAAGCAAGCTCGCTTTTAACGATCCTGCATCCAATCAGGAACGGACAAAGAGAAAGAAATACAATATCGCGCCGCACCAACTAATCTTATCGGAAGCGAAGCGTACCATAGCACCGCAATGTTACAGTCCCCCGAGCAAGTTGGGGCATCGCACAGGGCACTCGCAAAACCTCTGCCCGCGCGCAGTGCAACGCGATAAGCTGCATAGGAGAGTCAACGCGTTGGGGCGCCCCCTATTCTGAAACTCCCTATTCAACTTGCCTTATGAATATCAAACTACTTGTCATTTATCTTCAGAGACTGCCCACGTGTGTTTTATCTTGCGTCCCCTCCAAACTAATCCTACAACTGTGTTACACCGAGATTCGTTTTTAGAGCGCAGCTCTTAGGCGCCCGTTTCCGCGTTTCGCGGCGTCGCCGTCGGCGTAACTGTCCCGCTATATTTATCGGGGAAACTGGATTGGGGGGTGTTGAGGTCACGTGACGTCAATTTCCCCGCAAAATTGAGCGGGGAAATTTAGCGAGAGGAGGAGGGGGGAAGGAGGGGAGGAGGGAGAGGGGAGGCACAGGAGAGGAGGGGAGAATAGGGTGGAGGAGGGGCATACCCTCCCCTCCGCACCTTTTCCATCTGCTTCTCAAGAGCTGCGCTCAAATTTCGCGTTACAGAGATTTGTAAACGTCTCATTTTTTTATCGCTTTTTGTTCGAACCATTCACGTTTGGATTGTTCTGCTGGAAGTTATTACTGTCGCCGATAACGCTTGTTGCTACGATGTATTAGGGACGATTATTGTAAGGTAAGGTGTTTTTTTTTTTCTTGCCTTCTTACGTATATGTGTTTTTATATATATTTGCACTAATGTCCCCCTTTCACCTCATCCATAATGCCTCACGGCGCAGCAGATATACATTTACATAAATAAATAAAATAGAGCAACTAAGAATTCCGGTTTCTGTGGAGCGCGGCAGTGCTGGTCGAGCGAAAACGAAGAATATGCATACTTTTGCTGAAATTTGCTCCAAGAAAATGTGGTTTTATTTCAGGCATATGTACAGGAATCATATCCGAGTCGCCGTCTAGCGGAATGGATACTCAGGATCTTCCACTAATCTGAAAGCAAGAATAAAAACAATAAACAAAGATGATAAATATCGATGTTTGTCTTTTTCTTTTCCTTCGTCGTAGAAGTTTTTGTCAGTGAACAAGAAAAGTAATTCGAACATTTTAATGAGACCGACTGGGGAACCGGTAGCTTAAAGTATACGTCACCTATTAAATTATATACATCAACAAAAAAAAGTAATTTCAAACACGCGTGCAGGTTTACTTTTTTTTAACCTTACTTTTTAAACGCAGACGTAAACCCCAGAATAAGCGCACGCTACTTTTTTTTTTCTTTTTCCTTACGTGTTTAAAGCTAAAGACCGACAAGAAAAACACTGTTCGCAATCGTGTGACGTATGCGTTGTTGGAAATTCCTTCGACGCTAGAATGTCCCTGACCGCCAGCAAAACATCTTCAACAATGAACGTTACGGTGCTGTTTTTGTGCCTCATAATCCAGGCAGTTAGCTGTTCATGAGCACATACAATAAACGATTGATTGATCAAGTTGCTGAGTGTCTTTTGTTTTTCTTTTCTTTTTTGACGGTGTGCACGAACAATTGTATGTTGAGTTAAGTCGACGAACAAAAAGTAAAACAAAACTTTGTTCATGTACAAAATAATGCAGCTTTTTGGCAAACTTTCCCGTGCTTGAGATTCACCGACTGCCTACAAAATAACGCGATTGCGGCCGCGTTGCATTGGTACACCACAAAGAACGGGTTTTCGACTTGCGTGTTCAGCTACCTATCCCTCACGTAGAGTTATTATAATGAACGCTAGAGGTTCAACTGGCACTAGTGTTCACCCAACTTCCTGTAAATGAAGCAGACAGGAACCAGTCTATTTTTGCGCTGTATTTCGTCTATTCGCCGGAGAATAACAGGGATCGGATTTTTCATTTGGGTTATCTGTTATTTGAAAGGAATATGGAGTGCGTTCCAGGTGTTCCAGCATTCCGATAACGCTTACATATTGCTAATATGCCAGCCCCGTCACTATATAAAAATGACCCCGTAGTGGCTAAAACACCCAATACGTAAAGAATACAGTAAGTGGGCTATAAGAGGTGTCTTTTAGTGTTATTTATTTGCCGGCCAGCTTTTATGGAGCGCCCGTTTTCTGGCGTCTCCCTATTTATAAAGATTTCGAGCGTGCGAGTGACGTTTTGAACGCTAGAGCAAGTAGCTTCGCACATATGCATGAGCGGAGAGAACAAAGCGAAACTTATTTATTGCAAATCTGCCTATAATTACTTGGCCTTAACTTCATTTTGATCGTCTACATGTACAAGGAGGTACCGACCCCGCCTTCGCTCTAACAGTGTCCAACACTGAGCATAGATGCATATAAGAAGCTATTTTAACACAGTGTTTGATGCCATGAGTTGAAAAGTAACACTGTAACTGATCAATATTTTCGTCTACGTGAATGATAAATGTTTCAAGCTGTTTATTGCGGAAGAATTATTTGTAACACTTGCTCTTATAATCAAGCGCTGAGAAAAAAGTGCACCCTCTTTTCCCCTTCCGAATGCATTACCGGAATTTAAGTTTGGACTGTTTTTTTTTTGTTTTTTTTTCAATTGTAACACCACACTATTATCTGTTCAACTTCTAGCCTACATTATAGACCAGTGTCTGCTCTGTTCGGTGGGCGCCGCCATGTTTCTCTATGCTGACACCATGACACAGAATTGGGGCCGGACTTTTTGCAGGACTCCGTGTTTTTGTGTGTTTGTTTTTGTTGGGAACTTTTGCACATATTATGGTGCAAGAACGTCAGAAGTACAAAGGCTCGAAGGTCCAAGAACTACACCGATGCCAAGAGTACCATAAACATTACAGGAAGACGTTTAAGACTGCTTACGTGCAGGAGTGCGAAATCATTATAGTCCCCCGCGATCGCCTCACAGTCCATCGCGCGAAGCACTCACCGAGCACAGATGAAGTTCAAAGCGCACCTTTTGCACACGGCACTCCGGCGGTGACATCATTCTCCCACACTGCGTTGGCGTGGCGCCCCCGCCAACTTCAAGCCTTCCGTGACGAAGCAAATTTGCGTTGCTGCGCTTTTCTTTGTGTTTTATTTCTGAGGCGCGTGCGGTTCGACCTTGAGCGGCGCGTGCTTGATGACATATTTTTCTGGCCAACTTTCGGGCACAACACCGACGCCTTTTCGCGTAATGGGACATATAAGCTTTTGGCCTTAAAATAAAAAGAAATCTTGGTTGATTTTATGTGCAGCCCCTCTCTGCACAAGAACCCGCGTTTGAGATTATTATTTCCCATTTCTATCTCTAGGGGCTAGCATTTCGGACTCTGGTCTATAATAAAGACCCTAGATAAGAGCTTCCTACAAGTAGCGAGATTCTTTGAAGCGCCGACTGCGTGACGGTGCAGGTTTTATGGGAAGTGATTGGCGGCGCACTGCAGAAGACTGAACAAGAAGGACGCCATTTCGTTCCAGCGGAATGTGCTTTGTCATTTGTATCCGTTGTGGTTACTTGTAAAAAGAAATATCGAGGGACTTCAGTTTATAGTAACTCTATGATCTCGCCCGTGAATCCAAAGTAATCCCGAAGTGACGATCAAAGACGTCACGGTTAGATATATAAAAGAACAGTCGGCGCTCTGACACTGAGCGCGGTCAAACGTTGCAGGATGAAACAAACCCTGGCTTATCAAAGGTGAAGAGCCTGATGTTCTTGTTCAGACCTGACACCAGCCTCATGTCGGCCTCGGTCAACTCGAAGTCGAACACCTGCGAGAAGAAAGAGAAGGTTCTGCGGCGGTGTCTCATTTTGACGTCAGACGAGCAGCGAATAATGTGGCCGTTACTTCCACCGCCATCGCCGCCGACCGCGTTACGTAAGTGTATGTTAACGGGTACGGCAAGAAAACAAGGAACAAAACTGATCATTTCTTGTTGATCATTGTAGCTGTCAGCTTAAGAAACATGGTAAACAACACAGCATGCAGAAAAAGCACACATGGTGCATGCACAGTGCACAGATGCCCAGACGCACACTCACTTTTCCGCCGGCTCCCGCCCGTGCGGAATAGATAGCGATAGGCGCCGATTTTAACGTAGGCGAAATAGACGCCGACGTAACACGCCGAGTAGTGTCGAACAAAAAGGAACTCAAAACCGTGCAGCCTTTAAGTCATCCACGAACTAATTTATGTAAATAGACTATGGTACCGGGTGGTCACGGGGACGTAGTCACATGGTGACATTGTCATCACGTGACCAATTTGGCGGGCGATACATTGTCCGCCAAATTTAGCGGATGACGTCACTTACGTGTCGCTTTTAATGTCGCTGCTTTATGTCAGGATTTTTTTAGGTATGCGTCAACTTAGATTGCTTTCCACGTTAATATACACACACATCATACATACCACAACACACGCACACACAACACGACGTGCACAAGACTCGCACGCACAAGCACTCTTCTTTTTTAACGATTTAATTTGCCGATTTGGCCACCCGCTCGGATTAGATATCGATAAACGCCGATTTTGTTGTTACAGTCGCCTACAGCTTAAAAAACGCGTGGCGAATTGCTTGTCACGTTCACGGTTCGTGCTCTGGGACCCGTTTTCCGGCGTTCCTACCTGCTACAGTCGCGGACATCTTAAAAAAGAACGCAGGGTGGGGCTTATCACATTCGCGCATCTTGTTTCGCCATTCGTTCATCGGGGTTCTTGTCAACTAATGGCTCGTTCTCACTGGCTGCGTAGCGATGATGATGATGATGATGATGATGATGATGATGATAGTGAAACAGACTTCGACTTGGCTGCCTGAAGAGAGTCACACAAGGAATAATTGAAACCCCAGAGTCAGGAAAAACCTTCTGGTCACAATACTTCTTAAATTGTTTGTACCACGACGGGGACAGCTTAAAGAAGTGCAATGTGTGGCGAACGTTCGCTCGTCGCGCTGTTCTAAAGATCAGCTGTGCTTTGGGTAATGTGCGTTGATAGTACCTGGAAGTTCTCGTGGATGTGGGCCGCGTTGGTGCTCCTCGGAAGCACCACGACGCCGCGCTGCAGCAGCCAGCGGATGAGGACCTGCGACAGAGACCGGGACCGGATTAACGACCCGCGACGGGATTAACGACGGGACGCGCCTTAACGACGGGAGAGGATTAACGACGTCGCGCGGCGGCGCGCGCTTCGCCCAAGGACGATGCTAATTAAGACGAATGCCGGCTAATTGTTGAGATGGAGAAATTGGCACAACGCGAATCACGGCAAATGCCGTTTACGTGTTTCGATTCTTTCTATTCATGCCGTGTTTGTGTATGTGTGTGTGTGCTCTACTTTATGATACTTTGTTTTTATCGGGAAAAAGCAGAAATAATTTGTTAGTTCTCAAGGTTAAACCTAACTTAGTCTGAGATTGGGTTAGACTATATGTACTGACTGTCGTTCCTCGTTCACATTATTTTTGTTCTCTCGCACGTGCGCAGAAACCAGATTCGCGTGAGAAAAAGCATCTGCGCATGCGCAATGCCGACAGCAGCGCCACCACGGTGCCGTGACGTCAGAGTTGAGTTTCCAATAAGCCAGGATGTTGACATGGCGCGGAGTATAGGAGCCCTATCCATTTGGCCTTCCTTAAGTTTTTGCTCGTATTTTTGTCTTTTTAACTTTTTTTCTCCATCCATGTATTTTTTTTTTCTGACTGAGTACATATCTCTATTTGTATTTTTATTGTTTTTTTGTCAGTTCCCGCCTTTATGAGCGAAGTGCATTGTTCCCAAAGACGTACCATGCACCTATTGTTACCAGAGTTGATATTATAAAGAATTTATTTGGAAACGATCACACCTGCAACCAGACAAAGCTCTTTTTCTTTTTTACAACGTTTCAGTTTTGCCGACGTAACGACAATATTGTATGCGTATATTTATTTCATCTTTAAAATATACCCCGGCAACTTTCTACGTTGGTGCATTGTTTATTCGTTTTTATCTCCCTTTTTTTCTCGGTTGCTTCACTTTTCTAATCTACTTTCTTCTTCTGCTAGGGAAAGAGAGATAACTATAAATTATTTATTCGCTTATTTTTATTTTGTTTCCTGTTCATTTTGTTCCTACGCCCCTCTTCAATTGTCATAATATATATATATATATATATATATATATATATATATATATATAGATATATATATATATATATCTTCTGTGCTTCCTTTGCGCCATTTTTGTCTCGAGATTTCTTTTTATTGTTATTGTTTGTTTCCTTAGGAAGCTATTCAAGCATTATAAGTGCCGAAAGTAAGACCGCGATTTATTTCCTTATGATCCCAACTTAGTCTTGCTTTAAATTGTTTTCCTTCGCCGTTCTGGCGAGCTTTATCGTTTGCTCGAAATATAAAAAAAACGAAACATAAACACTAGAAAAAAAAGAGCCCATTTTTAAAACGGCGGATGGTTGAATTCGATAGCCAAGTTTCATAGATATTTTAAAAAACAAAAAAGAAATCGTTTTTTTTTATTTACAATGTTTTGTAAGTACACATGTTGGGCAATCATATATAAAAAAAAAAGAAAAACTTGAAAAGATTAACTTTTTCTAACTTGTTTTCTTGTTTTAAGCGCTGTCTTTTATGTTCCTAAAATAAATGTGTTTCTATAGATCGTCGTTAAATTTAGATTTATGAAAATGGCGAGCAATCTAGCTCGAAACTCAAAATCGTCTCTCTGACACGCTAATATTTTGGTCGATTTTTCTTCTTACACGGTTCATTTCCAAGAGAAATCGCAGTCGCGCTTATAACATTTTTTTTTAAAGTCATTGTCAAACAAATTATAACTGACGCGTAACATCAAATGCACGCCTCCGCCGCCGGTTCCCATTCTTTCAAGACCTCGGACCGAAATAGATTAACCATGTTTTTTATTCATTCCAACAAATAAAAAAGCTACGCGCTACGTCAGCCAAGCAATAAAAAATACAACTCACAAAAATTAAAAAAACAAAATCAGTCAATCGCGTTTCGCGTTTTCTAATTATTATGCTCTTTTTTTTCTCTTCTGCTAGATTGCATTTGAAAGGTACTATTTTCTTTTTTCAGGCGTTCGCTTTATCATTTGTACCTGTTTACAACGTATTATACTGTCCCCTATCTCGCTTTATTGCATCGTGTGATAATATGTTTCTACGTCTATTACGTCACGTATACTACCGCGCTGGATTCTATCGCGGCGTACTTTCTTGGATCGTTTTCTCACGTTGTATTCATTAGTTTATTTTTAAATTGTACCGTGTGTCACACCGTATTTTGTACTGCACTGTGTCACGACCCATTCGTTTGTTTCTAGTTGTACTGAGTACTCGATTTTGTCCCATTGTATACTTTCTTTTATCGTCACATAGTGTACCGCGCCGCATTCATTTGAGTCGTACTTTGTTGTGCCACGTTGTTTCGATTTGTTTGCTCGCCCTTGTCTCATGTTGCATCGACGATATGAAATACTGGCGTTTGAGTTTGATCGGCTTGTAACCGATTATGAGAGAAAATGCGTCGACGCCATTTAACAGCTAGTCCTAGAACGCGTACGATTTGCGTGTATGTAACTAGACTGGAGGTTTTACAATATTTGCGAAGCGAGGTCCAAATCTATACGCACTACCTACAAAAAAAGTATGGCTTATAATATTGTGAGAATTATTTCGAGTACACGGCGAAAGAATAACGCGTAACATATAAAATTGCCAGTGAACTAAATCTCCAAAATTATTTGTATATAATGCACGAGTTAACGTTAGAATTTTTTTGTTTGTAAGACAGTATTAACAATTTCAGTGGGTAGAGAACCTGTATGTCTATTCATTTTGAGGGGAAACGAACTTGGTGCATTAGTCCCATGACGTATAGTTTTATTGCTAAATTACGCGAGGAAACTGAATTTATATGCGGGTCAAGTGACGTCGTGTCGCTTGGCGCCAATTTTACCGCTAGATTTAGCGGGGAAACTGAATTGATGTATAGATCACGTGACGTTGTGTCACGTGGCATCGACTTCTCCGCTAAATTTAGCGCGAAAAGTGAATCGGTGTATAGGTCTCGTGACCTCAGGTCACAGGACATCAGTTTTCCCGCTAAATTCAGCGGCGAAACTGAAGTTGCGCTTAGGTTCTCGTGACGTCGATTTACCCGCTAAATTTAGCGGGAACTACACGGACGGACGGACAGACGGACGCTATTCTTGAAGTGGGAGATTCGTTAAAAAGAATTTCGTGCTTTAATACGCAGATCGGAAAGGGTTCCAGTGCTAGCCGATAGGTGGTGTCCGTGTGTTCTCTCGTTGTCGTTAGCGGTTACGTCCGTGCTGCAACGGAATCAATCCCGCACAAACGCAGATGTCCGAACGAGTTTCGCGTCACTAATTTCCTGTTTCCTCGTTCGCGAAGATTTGCAGAAGAGTCCTTCGTAGACACGGAGAAGGCTGCTTCTCCGCGAGGCGCAGAACGGCGTGTATGCCGGTCAAATTCATGTCGCTGCCCTGTCTCGGGCCAGATTATCCTTTCATAATCGGCTTATTGGAAACACGTACTGCGCTAATCCTCGCTCCAAATACTCACGCGAACGCGTTTTCCTTTGGAGTATTGATTCCATGGCATCGCTTCGTGTGCCAAGACTGCAATTTTGCTAGTAGCTCATTTTGTTACTCTTTGTGTGCGGTTACTGTTCTTTTTTTATTATCCCGATTATATTTATTGAGTCACACACTTATGAATTGACCGGCGACGTGGTTTTACATTAAATACCTTGTTGATAAAAAAAGAAAACAACTTCGAAGGGAAGGCTTTCAAATACATAGTTGTAGAAACGACGAGGTCAAATATGGCTCGTCATCAAGATCTATCAAAACTAAAAAAAAAAATATCACTGGACATTTTTTTTCAATCTTTTTGGGGAAAAATTAGAGAACAAATATAAGAAACGAGTATTAATTTTACTTCAGGCACATGAATATTGCAATTACGGGTCGCTTCCTCAGGGACAGTTAAAATTGGAAGCCGACCGCCGACGGATTAAGAAGTCAGTATCCAACATTCTACTTTTCTGGCAATATTTTTATGTTGTTGTTTTTTTTCTTTTTGTAACAAAATCTTTTTGCGATTGTTTAGCGTTGACCTTTTGTTTTTTGTCTGTAAGAATTCGAATGAAAGTCGCAGTTTTTTATGCTTTTTTCCCCTTAAGCTACCGTAAATTTATTCGTAATATTTGTGTCGGTCATTTTTGGACCCTATCTTTGGGGGTCTCCTTAAAACAAACTATCTGATCATTAAAAAAAAAATCGATAAAGGAGACAATTTTTGATTAAAGGTTTGTTCGCATTTTATTATATATTATTTTAATTTTAAGATTGAATCGTAGAGGTGCCCTACTTGAGAAGTTTCACGGTACTAAATGCCGGCTATAGGGATCGACAAGTTAAGACACGCCAGACGTGGCCAGTTTCGAGAATCTAATTACCGCTCCGTAACCAATGAGATCACGAAACTTGGCCGATAAGAAACGTCAAAAGAACGAATCATAAAGAATTAACATGCTACACCACTCCGTTTTTTTGTTTGTTTTTTTACAGCTGTCAGTGATCATTAGTGAAAATGAGAGTAGCATAATAATTACAGCAAATACAACGTGTCCCCTCCCCCAAAATAAATAAATAAATAAATAAATTACAGTAAGTGTGCGCGTTTCCTTTTTTTTTCCGGAAAAATATATTACTCATTCTCGAATGTTCATTTTCAGCCCGCACATGTAACGCTAGCGATTCAAACCAGAGGCCGAAGTTTCCGAACTAAAGCTGTGGGGGTCAGGAAAGACGTCCGTCGATGCAAATCAACAAACTTATCTTTATCACCACACAAAAACTGAAAAGAACATAAAAAATGGCTCCGTTGAGACCGCCCTGCTACATCGTCGAACGCTGCCAGGCTCGTGCTGTTCTCTTCGAACCCGGAGCTCGGTGCCGTCGGTGCTGCTCGTGCCGCGCGCTTGATACGTCATTAGCTGCTGACGTTGCGTGAGTCACTGCTCTAAGTTCTCGCGCTTTGGCGCCACCGCTGTAAGTCTCGCGCTTTGGCGCCACCGCTCTAAGTCTCGCGCTTTGGCGCTAGAAGGGCTCCCCCCCTAGAGGAGTCGCTAGGGCGATGTTGTGCCCAAGAGACGGAGCGATGATGCTGAGGCTCGGTGGCTTGTGAGGATGGTGCCGTCGGCTGGCATGAAGGCGGCCAATGTAGAGGGTGTAGGCTGGATGCGGACGATAGTTCAATGTGAGCAGGCTTCAGGCGGTCGACGCAGATGGTGTCATGCCGCCCGTTCCAATCCAGAACGAAATACTTGTCGCGCCTTTCGAGGACCTTGAAAGGGCCATCGTAAGGTTGTTGCAGAGGCTTCCGGACTGTGTCTCGACGCAAGAAAACGTGTGTGGCCGAGGTTAACTCGTCGCATACGTACGTCGGATGACGGTCTTGCTGCCTTGTTGGTGTGGCACGCAGGTTCCGCATAACTTCTCGAAGCTGGGTGGCATAGCTGAAAGGATCGGGTACGGTAGAAGTAGGAGACGTCACGAACATTTCTCCTGGGAGACGAAGTGACTGTCCGTAGACTAGGTCTGCGGCAGTGCATCCCAAGTCTGGTTTTAGTGTTGTGCGGAGGCCTAGAAGCACGATGGGAAGAAGTGTGCTCCAGTTGTTCGGGTCGTTGTGTGCTCTTAGTGCGGCCTTTAGGGTACGATGAAATCTTTCCACAAGGCCGTTAGCAGCGGGATGGTACGCTGTTGTTCGAATTCGGGAGGACCCAATAAGAGTCATGATCTCGTTAAACAAACGAGATTCGAATTGAGCGCCTCTGTCGGTGGAAATAGATGACGGAACTCCAAATCGTGAAATCCAACCACTGACGATTGTCTTCGCAATGGTTTCCGCGCGGATGTCTGCGATAGGGAAAAACTTCTGGCCAGCGGGTGAATCTGTCTATGCAAGTGAGCATGTAGATAAATCCGGCGGATGGTGGCAAAGGACCGACGATGTCCACGTGGATGTTGTCGAAGCGAGCGGTGGGTGTCTGTACTGTGGCGAAAGGTGCAAAGGTATGTCGATGAACCTTAGACAGCTGACACTGCAGACACGTGCGAGCCCATTCACGCACATCTTTGTTCATCCCTTGCCAAACGAAGCGTTGGGCGATGAGATGTTGGGTCGCCCGAATGCCGGGATGAGAAAGGTTCTGCAGTGAGTTGAAGATGGATCGCCGAAACGTTGGAGGTACCACCGGTCGGGGAGATCCCGTGGACATGTCACAAATTATTGTTGTGTTGCAGCCTGGCAGCAACACGTCACGCAGGTCAAGGTTGCTAGATGCTGATCGTAGCCTTGGGATATCTTGGTCGCCTTGCTGTGCTGCTGCTAGAGCGGCGAAATCCACAGCGGTGGGAATGGCGTTGATACGTCATTAGCTGCTGACGTTGCGTGAGTCACTGCTCTAAGTTCTCGCGCTTTGGCGCCACCGCTGTAAGTCTCGCGCTTTGGCGCCACCGCTCTAAGTCTCGCGCTTTGGCGCCACCGCTCTAAGTCTCGCGCTTTGGCCCCACCGCTCTAAGTCTCGCGCTTTGGCGCTACAAAGCGTCATCTCGGTCAAAAGTTACGGGTGATCTTATGAAAATTTCAACGAGAAAATGGCTCCCGTTTTCGGTAACTGGCGCCCGTTCAGCTCAATGTATTCGAGAACTTTCGTCCAGTGCCATTTTGTCATTGAAAATTCCAGAAAATCGTTTATAACTTTTCGATCCAGGTGGCGGGTTCGAATCCCGACCGAGGTGCCCGCAATATGACGGAGGCTTATTGCGGAGAAGGCGCCGTGTAACCGAGATTTCGGTTGCACGTCAAAAGATCCCCAGGTGGTCGAAATTAATCCTCAGTCCTCCGCTGGGGCGTGCCAGATGCCCGTCGTAGGTTTGGCACGTAAAACCCCCAAATTTGACTTTATAACTTTTCGATAAGATAACGGTTAGTTCTGGAACTTTGGCATCTGGTCCGGATCCCTAAGGCTACTTTTGGACAGAAAATGAGCGTTCGGTGTTGCTTAGTTTATTTTTGCCATAAAAAAAAAAAACTTTTTGTGTGTTTGTGTGTGTGTGTAAAAGGGGGGGGGGGGGGAGGGAAGAGACCTTTCGTACATTTACTACCCAGGGTCGTTGCAACACTCAACACTCACTTGCGCCGGAGATTTGCCGTGGCGTTCGGCGATAGCCTTGAGTACCGAGTCCTGGAGAAGTTTCGAGCTCTCGTGCTTCCTAATTAGAAAAAAGAAAAAAAAACTTTTTTTTTTAGCAGTACGAGAAGAACGCACGCGTACTTTCGCGTTCGTTTTCTAGTGCATGGGCATTGGCCACGTGCGCGCTACCAAAAAGGCCGCTCCGATTAATGCCGCTTTCATCGACGCTTACAAAAACAATGTCACACTGTCGACTTTGACGGTGCTACTGTTCAGGAACTCGGTGACTCCATTGTGTTTTTTACACACACCGTCGAAATCGTATACTCCGTTTCCGAGGCTAGGCGATTCGACGTTGCCAACCAAGCAGCGCTAAAAAGTGCGTCATCCAAGGCACTAAATTTCTTTCGTAAATTTGCTCTCACCAGCACTCACTGAGCTTGATTGGTTTAGTTGTAGACAGCAAACGTTTCTTCACCCTTCGACGGTCGAGTTTATTTTTATTTCTTTTTTTTTTTTTAGAAGGCGGGTTTTGTTTTTAAAGCAATATAAAATCAAGGGTGAATCCGCGGGTTTGTTCCTAATTATCTAGCGGGAGCACGTACAGTGCTTGCAGCAGGTAAGCTGTTTAAGTATATAGAAGCATCGAGTGAAAAGATTGAAGGCGAAAATGTGTCACCTCTCTTCCACTCAGTTTTTATTTTGGCGCACCTGTCTCCGCGACACTCCGGCGGATTTGGATTTCTTACGGGGCTACTTTACACAGCTTCTCCGTCGGTTAATGAACTCATCCTCTGAATCTAATTCCGAAAAGCGCTACCGCCAGAAAGGCTGGTATGCGAGGTGAGGGATCACGTGTACGCGAAACATCTAATACCCCTGTCAGACGGGCTAATTTAGCGCACTTCAGCCGAGTGCCTTTCGGCTCACCGAATGCCACTTCGAGTGTTACGGTGTCACACGGGATAAATTAGTGTCATTCGGAAAGATGCCAATAACGATACGTTCGTATTAGACACGCAGAAATTATTAAGTAAAAAAATAAAAGCATCAGCGATATTTTGTCTGTTTAATAAAGACACGTTACGCGACAATACGTTACGCTAATTGGCGATATTTACGCCAATTGGATGATTCTGATCGATCATCCTAAAGATAAAGAAGGAGGAGATCCAACGTTGACGTTCCACTCTTTCCCACGGGGGTCTGCGAGGAAGCCCTGACACTGCCTTATTAAAACATGATCATCGTGTTGTCTCGTACAGCTACGTTCTGAAACTGAAGTAGGCTCTATCTTTTTATGCTAACTAAGATAGCATTGGAATGATTTACGTTGTCGTCGTCTTTGGCCGCGGCACTAATCTAGGTACAAATCATCCTAAACTGTAAGGCTAAATCCGCTAAACTATTTTATATTTTTTTATTTTCAATGACACTCCTTTCTCTTTCTTTCCTCATTCACAAATTTCGAATTCTTTTTAGAAAAGTATGTACCCTTCGTTTTTAGTTTCTATGTTGTGACGTTTTACTCTTGAAACACTGCTATAGAGAATGGGTGCTCTCCATCGAGTGAAGTGAGTTCGTCAAACTCACTTGAAGCCGAGTGTGTTCTTAAGGAAGAAGCCGCCTATTAGCCCGTCTAACCGGGGTATAATTTAAAAAAAAAAACTATAAATATAACCCATAAACGCGAAACACCGGGCAAATATAGCGTTTATAGTTTGCCAGAGACACGACCAAATAGTAACACCTCCCGCCGTGCGCGCAGTTTCGAGTTTAGGCGCGAGCATTTTCAGATGCCTAATCAGCCTGGCACATGTACGGCGACAACCGTCGAGGATTCATACATTCGTCCACTACACTCCGTTTGATGTCATGTCCGACCGCGTCCGAAGCTAATGGACCCAATCAAGCAGCGTCAAGAGCGCATTGTCATCAGGCTCGTCGTCATTAGGGAGTTTTAGGGAACCGTTTTTGCACGTCCCATATACGATGGGCCCTCCGGTTCGAACTGCGCATGCGCTACCCCATAGGGCTCGCGCATGCGCAGTTCGTACCGGAAGGCCCATAGTACCGAATCGGATGTGCAAAAACGGTTCCCTGAAACTCCCTATAGTCCGTTTGCCGTATCCCCGACTCAACCAATCACGCAAAGTGAAGACAAGCTGACACCGTGACGATGCACTTTTTGCATCGTTTGAAATGGCCTCCATCGAATCGTCTGCGGAGAGCAAGTCGTCTGCTTCTTGCGCAGGAGTTGTGGTGACGTCAGTGCAACGCGGAGCTCTGATTGGCTATGATTGAAAGGATAGTGGGTAGAACTCGATTCATCTAGCATCGAGGTTTACACACTATTTCTTTTTTATAAATAATCGAGTAAAAGTTTGGCATTCTAACATTATCGCAACCCCTGTGCAACAGGCAGACGAACTAGAGCTCCGCATAACGTTAGCAGCGGTCGGACCTCGAGCGAAACCGAGTTTGGTCAACAGAGAATAAGATAGTGAAGGCATTCGAACGCGCCACTCTTCCTTTCATAAAACGTCGTCACGCAATCGAATGGCGCCAACTCAGTAATTGGACCCGAGCCGGACGCCGAACGTCCTTCCACGCGTTCATTGGACACGAGCCTCCAGCCGAGCACTGACGCTGCACTCGTATCCAATCGGTGACTTCGCTCGATCTCACTCTGATGACGTCGAAATTCTGTAGTAAGGCACAGGCTTTGATTATTCTTGGTGGTGTCGGTTCAGTTCGCAACCGATGATGATGATGAAGTAGCCAGGATTACGACTCGTGGCACCCGGGGCGAGGCAAATCGTGATCATGACGTCACGAGCGGATACCGTATGAGAGGGTGCCACCGAAACGTTAGGCGCTAACACTTGAAAACCGTGCTCGTCGAAGGGGTCACCTTTACCTCGAGCCTGAGGGCGATGAGGTGGTGGGAGAGGCGTGGTGTGCCGCGGGGCTTCCTAGCGGAGCGTAGGCCGTGAACGAGATGCTGTGAGTCGAACAGAACTGCTGCAAGTCCTTCTGGTTCAGGTACGCGTGGCACTCGACCTGCCGAGGTGATCGGACATCAGGATTATGGCTTCCGAGGTTGTCATCGTACAGATCAGCGATCATTCTCAAAGGCTTCAGGGACTTATGGTTCAAGAAAAGCCTCATGAAGTAACCTCAAACTCAACAACCGTCATTTTTTTTTTAAAGAAGCAATTGACAATAAAGCGGGAAACGACAAACGCAGATCACAGGCGTGTCAAACATCGTGGGGGGTGAAGCCCACCTAACCATCAAAACCACTTGAAGAAATCGCGAGACAAAAACAAACTAGTTTTAAATGCTACTAAATGTAACCAAATTTTATATAAATTCGGTGAACCTGTTGGGATAAACTAGAAAAGCGTTTTTTTTTTTTTTTTTTCCGCCTGTAAAAAATATTTTCTTATTTGTAACGTTTCATTATTTTGCTTTATTAGTTCATTCGTAGATACGTAATATCGAGCTCGCCAAAGCCACAAAGGCTTGTGGAACGGAGACCGGCGCAATTGATCTTCAAGATGTATATATATAGTGAATTAGGGGATTTTATTCTCACTTGTGAAAAATGAAAAAAAAAAGGTTTGTTAATCGCATAATGAAACATGTTTTGCTATTTTTTTAACTTTTTTTATAAAAAAAAAACATTTACGTGCAATATTTACGCCGTTATTCGCCGTTCATGTTAAGATGGAGGCTTACCTAATCAAGTTAGACGTATAAGGTTATTACAAAAAAAAAATTAACTTGACCGCCTTCTGAGGCTTGCTGAAACGCTCTTTGCTGAAAGCTCCTTTCGTGTAGTCACCGGTGAACACCAAAATTAGGCGCGCGATGAATCGCTTACATACTCAAATTTTTTTCAATCCCCGTCCCTGCTCGTTTCGATTTGGATGAGCATCGCACCGGCGTGCAGTCGTGTATCGCTATTGCGTGATGCATTTTAAAGACCCCAGGCTAGCGGTTGTACTGCACTGGCTCAATTTCTTATCTTCTGCTGAGTCACCAGACGCCCATTGAGGATGACTAGCTCCCGGCTGTATAAACTTACACACATTATCATTTTATTATTACGCAGAATTCACCCCTTTCCCGCACCACCGTTGCAAAGTCAGTGAAAACACCGAATGTATTATATGTTGCTTCGCGGGTGATGTTGCACGGAGGGAACTTGACACGCCTTTTGTGCCTCGACGTCAGGAACACTGTTTTATGATGAATTTCAGCAAAACTCAATATATTTCACTTCATTGCCGGCCGACGACCTAGCGGAGCACTTAGATATAAACTTTTTTGTCCTTATCGCAGCTGCTATGGAGTTACGGCCTTACCGCGGCCACTCCATTACCGCTTCCGTACTGATTAGCTTTATATGCGCCGTCCTTTACCTGAAGATTGGCCGGTTTGATGGCAGCGACGGCCAGGATTCTACTGATCTGCTCCCGGTTGAAGTTGCAGAGTCCGATGGACCGTGTCAGACCCTGGTTGGCTGCGTCTTCCATGCCCTGCGGGTAGGATGGACGTCGGCTGTGGCAAACCAGTATCGGTACTGTTTTCTTCCCTTGTCTGGTAAAGAATGCGTCGTCCCAGTAGCAGTAGACAGCCAGTGAATAAGCCAACATGTGTATTGTTCCAGACGCCTAACCTAGGGTTACATGATCCTTTGTTGCTCTTCATCTTCATCCATGAGTTCAGAGGAAAAGCCTCTTCTGCGATTTGTAAGCTAATTGTTTTGCCCTTTTTAGCTTTTATCTCCATATACGACTGCTTTGGGACCGCGCCATATGTTATAAGAAAAGATTTAAAACACCACCATACCGCAGTACTGGCACTTTTCGATAGAACAAGACCAAGCACACTCTCCTTTCCCTGTCGCACAGTTTCACGAGGCTCAACGGGTAGAAAAAGGAATATTTATTCATGCGGCCGTTTTTGCTTTCCTGACGAGTTTTATAGTAGCATTATAAGAAAATACTTTCAGTTTAAAGGTATTTCCTGACAACTAGAAGCCCGAGCGCATAGCTTTATCTCTGGCCGTTGCTGCTTCTGTACAACGGTAAGCTCAGCCGAAGGGCCTCTTAGAGCAAAAAGCTCGCTCGTCTTGTACACCCTAGAAATGGTTTGCCATTCCGGTTGATATATATGAGAAAAGGCTGAGAAGCACATATTTTGACAAGCAATACTTTGTCTAACAAAAAAAAAAAAAATGGTGCAAAATGCGTGAACAAAGCAGAGCTCGTTTTCGAACGGAAACGAATCGACAATATAAAACTTATTTATGGCGCATTTGGCGCTCGAGGCATGGGAACGAGAGATCGCAGCCGCGAGATGTCTGTGGGCCGCGTCCCAGAGAGTTCGTCTGCAAGAAGCAGACGAACTTGCGCTCCGCATAAAAACTGACAACATAAAAAAACGCATTGCGTGACTATATGTCAATGATTCTTGCTTCGTGACTGGTTCTTTGGCTTCCTTGTCTGCCAATTCCCCATTCTTTTTGGGCTGCGGTATGATAATGACATGCCGGAGACTCGCCAGAGTCGCCACACGACCATAAGGAAGACAGACCTTCCAGGTGTCCAGGATGTCCGTCTGGTACGCCTGCTTGTGCTCCTGCGTCGGACCGCTGTCCAACTCTTCGGACAGCGAATGCCTGTGGTGCTGCTCTCCCCCGCGGTGTTTGGTCGGCCTCGGATGGGGTCGCGTCTTGAGCGCCCCCTGGTACACCGGGAAGTGGATCAGGTACAGGTCCACGAAGTTCACCTGGAGCTTCTTCAGCGACGCCAGCAGACACTTCTTGACCTTCTCGCGTCGGTTGCCTCCGCGGGGAAGCTGCATCGAGCGTGAGTTTGCATGCAGACAGCGCCATGTTAAAGACACGTGCCTCGGTTTTTTTTCATTGTGCACGAGTCTTTTGGCGTTTTTTGTTATAGTCCGTTTGCGAGGGAAGTGGAAAAGTTTGCGAGGGAAGAAGAACTAGCTCGAACGCTAGAAAGCGTTTTAAAAGCAGCCGCAAGTGCCTGGAAGAGGTCGTTACTTTCCCCGAAAAGTCGCGTGCTCGGTTAAAAGTGGTGGCGCCCTTGCCTGTGACAACAGGTTCTATGCAGCAAGCAAGCATCTTACTCGCTAAGATTGTGGGTTCTACTTTCCTGCGGAGCACACGGAAAGCCAATGGCTGCAATCCTCGGCGAACTACGAGACCGAGAATATACTTTTAAATTAAAAAAAAAAAGTATTTTGAATGGGTGAATGAGAGATGTGAAACGACGTTCTCAATGGGTCCATCGCATGACACACGTTGAGCACGCTGACTGATTGCATTGTGTCTGCTTTTGAAGCTCGCTGTGTTATTTTCATGCGGTAGTGCGACTTCTTAAAACTTTGGCTATGTCTTCGAAATAGCGGCTAGCGTTTAAGCTAGGGTTCCAAGAACATGCCAGGCAAACAAAGCTGATTGTGCGAACAACGTGCCCTGCAGCGCGTAGCCAGCTAGCTTGTATAACCTTTCATCCGGCCGATATTATAAAGCAATAAGATGGCCGAGAGGTGGCTGGGATTCGGGAAACACAGGCCAGGTGGCGGAAGTCACCGCCCATTTTACAGGGCTCGTCTGTATGCATACATTCATGTCTCCATCTGGGCTAAGCAGGGAAAAGCGATCCAGAGAACTTGTTCTGGTACTTGTCTTCTGCTTGAGTACGGGCGCCCACTAAAGTCTCTTGAAAATGACCGGTGATTCCTTGTGGAAATCGAGTCCCTCTCTGCCTCGGGCTACGTAGTCAAGACCGCCGTTACGAGGAACATTGGGCCTTCCGCGTGAGCCGAAGTGAACTGACCTTGGTGACGATGAAGAGCTCTTCACGTTTCACCCTTCCGGAAGCGATAAGCTTGCGCAGGGCGTTGCCAATGGCCGCTTCGTTGCGAGTATTGTAAGCAGTGTCGATGTGCCGGTAGCCCGCGGTGATAGCTGTCTCCACCGCCTTCTCGATCACCGAGGGCTCACCCTGTGTAAAAATCGTGACGTACTAACCTTAATATCATCCGTATCGTTTCGGGCAATCAAGGACCTGTCGACTGGACAACTGGAGAGGTTTGGTTTCAGTTGCCATGGAACGGACCATTTCGGTCCGTTCAAATCTTCGAAGCTTCGAAGGGGTTATTTTAAACCAGCTGCACCAAGATCGCTATGGAGCGCCATCGTACTGAGAGCGTCCCTTGCCAATATAAGCGTCTTTGTCACGGTGTATGCAATCAAATTATCATCCATGCTTATCTCCGTGGATCTCTTACAAATAATTATAATGTTATTCATGCCTCTTTTAAGGCAGGAAAATTATTTTTCAATGCCGCCAAGCAACCACGCCGCATATGGTGGTTGGTTGCGAAGATGTGCATTTATTTCGCCGGTTGAGGATAACAATATCTGGGTATACTAGAAATGTCTTTGAAACCTCTCACCGTGAATTTGGATCGGCTCACCAAGAAAGGAGAGGTCAAAAAAAAAACTTCATTCCATGAACCAAAATGGCGACCATACAGAGAGCTTGGCGTCTTTTTCCTAGGTTCTAATGACTTTAGTACCCACCATGAGCGTTCAACCATTCCATAGCTTGCTCCTGACGTCATGGCACCATATAAATGGTCATTGTTATACCTGCTGCCGAGAGAAACAAATTCTGTGGTAGGAAATATATGCTGCGGAAGGCAATGCACGCAACAGCAAGGCCTTTACAATGGCCGCTGGTACGAAGTCTTGGCCAGCCATGTATAAGCCTTGATGACATCGTTTTAGATTTGATAAGAGAACAAGAAAGACTTCTGATAGCTCGTTCGTACTAGCCGTATCGTATCCTTGACTTTGAACAAAAATAGGATCCTAACGAGCAAAACATACAGGCGAAACTGTTTTGTGCAATCGTCCCTCTCGCCCTCTTCAAGAAGTAACACACCCTCTAATGAGTCATACTCCCCCCCCCCCCCCCCCCCCCCCGCTAAATAAAACACGTGTCTTTCACAATGTACAGCGTTCCAACGAATTCGGATGAGCCCTTAAAGGGATACTTCAACGAAATTTGCAATATTCCCGTCGTGTTCAAAAATAGGTTGAATATGATCCACAATATCCGTAAATGACAATCGCACGTTTGTATTTTGAGTATTTTTCGTTTAAAAACGGCCCACTCTGGCAAGCGCTCGGAGAAGGCCCAGCGGAGACCACGTGACATCCAACGCAATCGTGACGTAGGTCGTCTCAAGACGAGCAAAGCTACGGCGAGGCTGACGTCGAGAGGATGGCCTAGTCGTTCCAGCCACCGAAGCGGCTGCTTTTGTACAAATTTTGAATGACGGGTTAATCTTCTATAATCTTGTAGGGGGAACAATAGCGACTTCTGTGACACACAGAAGGCATTCTCGGGAAGAGGGGAGTTCCTCCAGCCCCTCTTCTCTCGTCGTGGCCGGAGGCGAGACAACCTCCGTCACTAGCTGCCAAGGTTGCTAGACGGGCATTAGAAGCGACGTCGTTAGCGACATCCACCAGGTGCTCTTTGCTAATCGTTTAATTCGTTTTAAATTCCTTTTCGTGACTTTTTTAACAAGATATTGGTATGTTCGATTTGATGGTGCTTTTTTGAACACATATAGACCAAAAAATGAGCGCCGAAATTTTGTTGTAGTATCCCTTTAAAGTAACCGCATAAATAGGCTTGGTAACTTATTGCACTACAATTTACCACAGAAGCGCCCTAAGGTGATAAAAGCATCCCGTCAAAATTAAAATGAAAAAAAAACTTACCTCAATAAAAATTAGAAAAGCTACAATTGATTTTTCCTACCTACAGCACCCGTCCACTATCCACGCATCCGTTGACTGTCGCATCAACCAACAGATCGCGGCAGGGGCCCCGGTTCAAGCCTACCACGTGGTCGCGCCAAAAGCCGACGATGTTTTTTAATAAAAAAAAAAATGAAAGCCGGATTAGAGCGCAGCTCTTGAGGAGGAGGATGGAACCGTACTGAGGGATAGGTGACTCCTCGAGGTCACGTGACCACAGGAGAGGGGGGGGGGGTCGTGTGACGTCAGGGGGGGGGGGCACGTGATCTCGCGGTTACGCCGACGGTGACGGCGACGCCGACGCCGCTCATGCCGGAAACGGGCCCCTAAAGCGCGAAACACATGTACGACGAAACTTTCCGATCCGACGTGCGGACTGCCGGAATGACCTTGGGGGGGGGGGGGGGGGGGGGGGGGGGGGGGGGCGCGAGGGTTTTCGCAGCATCGGAGAGCGTTGAAAACCCTCGCCTCCGACCGTCGTATTTGCGTGGGTCGGACGTCAGATCGGACGGTTTCGTCGTACATGTGTTTCGCGCTTAAGAGCTGGGCTCTAAAACGGCACGCGCTCAATAAAACGCGTTACTTGGACACAAAACGAACAAAACCGAAGGTTCGTCAATAAATTTCAGCTACACTCCGACTACTCTCCTATACCAGTTTCACTTCACTTCGTAATCGGGCTTTTGTTTGAAGGCCCTCCCGACTTACCCTCCCGACTTGTCCTCCTCCTCAGCGCCCAGACCGAGTTTCTGCTAGGGTTGACAACGTGTGTAAAATCAAATTCATCCACACTTTATCCTCGTTTTTTTTTTTTTTTGCAAATTTTATGCTACCTGTTGCTATTGACAATTGGAAATCATTACCCAACGACATTGTGATAGAAATTAACGCCCCTAAGTTTTGAGAACTTCTCAGTGTTTTCTTGGATCAAACTAACGAGCTGTAAAATTGTAAAATTGTTAGTTGTTGTTATCGCCAATAACATTTCTGCCATGTTTTTATTTTATTTTTTTTACTGAGGTAATCTTTTTATTATTATTATTTTCATTCGAAGTTTCTACCACAGAGGTGCCCGAAGGTGGTAATCGTAGCGCGATACGCTACCACGCCAAATTATATGGTCCCTTTAAAGGCTTCATCGAACCCCACCGACGTTGACAATAATGAAAGTGGTGTTTATTTTCGCTCAGGAGAGCCGCGGCGGCGCAAAACGGCAAGTCGCTCGTACACCATGGAGGCCGGCGGTTCCGCGCCTACTGACGATGCGATGTTATTGCGCGGATAAAATAAAACCGGTGGAGAAGACGGCTCATCCCCGTTGCACATACCTGACAAGTGGCCAGACCGAGCATGGGTATCCAGACACCGTTGTTCATAAGGACGCAGTTGCGCTTTCTCCTTTGCACGAAGTCGTGCGGCTGAGGAGAGGCCGCCGATGGCTGGGGCGCCTTCTGCGCCGACGCCGGTGGCCGGCCGCTTGCTCGCATCATCGCGCTTTTCTTCTTCGCTCTCCTCTTTTTCTCCCTGGAGGCCCTCTCGGCACGTGCCTCGGGTTCTGTTTTTTTTTTTTTTTTCTTGAATACCAGCTGAACGTAGAAGAAAAGCGAAGGAGAGGAGAAAACACAGAACCACGCTGCTGGACTATCAACCTTTGAATGAAAAACTTCATTTTCCTCGACACTAACCGTACATGTCATGGAATCATGTCAAACCAACCGGCTCAGCTCCAGGCCGTTACAGTCTGTGTTTCTTGTGCGATTGTCGGAAAACGGACCGCGCGTAGGGCGAAAGCTCGCGCTGCACAACCCAGAGATAGCCCAGGGCAACGCCCAGGATAGGGTGTATTAGAATGGGAAGGTCTGCCGTCCGGCGGCCGTGAGTGCATGGCCTTCGAGATTTTTCTCACGCATTGCTGCGCTCATCAGGCTTTTGCATTCACGTGGTAGAGGCTGTTACTGCGGGGCGCTTGGTGGAGCTCGCACCCAAACCAAACTAAAGCCCCTCCATGTTTCTGCGGTGGTTTTTCAAGTAACGTAAAATGGGTGCCACTGCACGAGGCCCGTGTCTCGAGCGGCCCTTGGAAGCGAATGGCGGCGGAGCACCCGCTCGTGGCACGCGTCTTGCGCGTTTCCACAACAATGGTTGGCGGTACTTGTAAAAAAAAACGCCGTTATCAAGAGGCGGTAAACCAAACAATGCAAACAGATAGCCGCGAATTATCATGATCACCATTATCGTCGGGCTACAGAACTTGGGAGCGGCGCGAAATGTGCTCGCCGCAACGCACAGACCTTTGGCAAGGAAGAAGTTGATAGAAATTTGAAGGGTCATCTTTTCAAAGTGCGAAAGGTGAAAAACAGCGCGAAAGGCGAAAAGCGCGGAAGGTGCAAGTAAGTGAAGTTTAAAAAGTTGTTCTTGTTCATTTTGACACACACACACAAAAAAAAAAAAATAATTCTATGCCTGTTTCGCCGGTTTAGACAGTATCCGCAGAGGACAAATATTGGTTCGCACTAAATCTTGCATTGTGAGGTATCATCCAGCGAAACGGCGCAAAAGCCAAAAACAGCAGAAAAGCAAAAATTACAGGACGACGCTTATAAGCTCCGCCTTTAACAGTGGAATTTGATAACTAAATGTAAACCCCCGCTTGTTTCCAAGCCCTTCAAACGTGCCTGCGTGGACTTGCAAAAAAAGAAAAACAAGAAAACGTGTTTGCGTGGTTTACAGTGTGCGTGGCAGTGGGTAGCGTGTCCGGCTCGCAACCGAAGGGTCATCGGTTCGATCTCGCTCCGCCTAAAATTCTTCCATTTTTTTAAGGCAAATGAATGATTTATTAAACAATCAGGATTTTCCAGTCCCACCGACGCCGACAGCGACGCCGCCGCCGGATTTTCTGAGATACAAGCTCGTAAATGCTGTCGCGTTAAAACAAGACCAACTGGACCAGAACATGGCGACCTTATTACCCAGTGTAGATGAGAAATTTGATCAGTGCAGTACGCGTCTTCTAGCGTGGAGTCTTTAACGTGCACTACGCAGTAGTGATACGCGACCACACGCTGGTACGATGCTTATCCAGGTCAAAACGGGCAGGGGTGGGGTTAGAACCTCAGATTGAGGGAGTTGGTTGTTCATGTTGGTCGATGTTGCAGCACACTAAAAAAAACTTTCACTCAAGCTTTCACAGACACAAAAAATGAAAGCCGTTTACAATTCCCTGTAACGCCGGTTAGAGCACAGCTCCTGAGGAGGAAGATGGAAGCGTATTGAGGGATAGGTGACTCCTTGAGGTCACGTGACCTCAAGGGGGTCACTTGACCTTAGGGGGGTCACATGACCTTAGGGGGGTCACGTGACCTCAAGGGGGTCACGTGACTTCTGGGGTCACGTGACCTCAGGGGGTCACGTGACTTCTGGGGGTCACGTGACTTCTGGGGGTCACGTGACCTAGGGGTGTCACGTGACGTGACCCCCTGAGGTCACGTGACCCCCAGAAGTCACGTGACTTCAGGGGGTCACGTGACTTCTGGGGGTTACGTGACCCCAGGGGGTCACGTGACCTCGGGGGAGGGGTCACGTGACCTCGCGGTTACGCCGCCGGCGACGCCACTCAAGCCGGAAACTCTCACACGAAACTCTCACACAGCGTTCATTATACTTCGTTTCAGCTTCGGTCCAGACGCAGCCAAAGCTACAAGCGCGAGCTCCGGGCTTTCAGCATATCTGCCAAGCACGCGCGCTCGTGCAGTGCAAGCACTGTTCTGGGCCACATGCTCGCGCTTGTAGCATCGGCTGCGTCTGGACCGAAGCTGAAACGAAGTATAACAACTTTGTATTGCGTGATTAACTTCTGCTTCTACTTCTACTTTAATTTGAGATGATTTTCAAATGGAAAAAAAAAATAATACAAATAAAACGGCAGAAAAATTCCTTCTAACAATTAGGCAAACTTTCCGGCTAAATAATCATTCTCTTTTTGTGATAATAATATAGACGGCGTACTAACATATTTGTCCTCGAGTCGTATGATCTTCTCGGCTTCGATAATCTCCCTCGTTAATTGGTTGACACTTTTGCCCAACACGGTGCTGTTGTTGAAATGGGCCCCGACAGTGCGTTCCTAAAGGGGTATTCACACGAGGGAGAAATCCCGGGGATTTCTCCCCAGCACGCGCGCATCACGAGATGAAAACGCGAGGCTTTTGCACATCGCAAAGCTTGACGTTTTCGTCGTGGAATGCGCGTGGCGGGGAGAAATCCCCGGGATTTCTCCCTCGTGTGAATACCCCTTAAGTGACCAGGGGGGCTATGTTGCACGTTTCGGACTCCCAGGCGACAAGGGGGAAGGAAGTGACGTAGGTGTGAATGAACGTATCTTAGCAGCACCACGCAACGCGTAATCAGCGACTCCACCAGTCAACATCCAAAGAGCGTTGTTGACGTCACTTCCTTCTCCCTAGTCTCCTGGGAGTCAAAACGTGCAACATAGCCCTCCAAAGTTCGCGTTGACGATGGTGTTGCTGTGTTCACGAAGGTGGTCATTAAGACACCGCCCAGTTCGTCTTGCGTATTGTCTTCCGCAGGAAAGGGGGAATGAATAAACAACCCCCTCAATGCAAGACACAAAGTTGGTTCAATGCTTCTTGCAGCAGTAAATAGCTCGATTTGAGAGAGTGTGGTCACGTTTTTACACAGGCTGGAAAGTTGGTTGAGAGCTGAAAACACGATGTCAACATTCACTCTGTTCGCTGTTTTTTTAAGGCCGTGAGAGAAATTGTGCATGTGCGGTTTGATGACCGGTCTTCTTGTCCGGTCGCTGTGCGTTTGCTTGACGCAGCTCCCTTGCTTCACTTCTTTAAGGATAGTTTCAACCACTGACACCAATAAAAAAAAACAGGATACTCTGCGGACTGCAATTTGCCTGTCGAAGCTCTTTTGTATTGAATGTGAGCATGATTTTGTGAGTTAGTTTATAAGACATAACCGCACTATGCCTCTCTTGACAAGTTTTGAGTGCTCGGAGTTGAAGGGGAGGAGTGGGTTTTTCCCCCTGGGTTCATAGAGCGAGCAAACCTGGTGGGGTGGCTCCACCAGTCGGAGATCTACGGATCTTAAATCCTTCAACCGGCAGCTCGTGGTTGATTTCTAAGAGACGCCGCGCCGCTGTCGGTTGCCGATCTGCCGGTTCAAGGATCCTTAAGATTCTGAGGAGCCGGATCAAATGCCGTGCAGGAAAGTAGACGTTGCACGCGCCCCGGCGTACGTTCCCCTGCTTTTGAGTGCGCCGCGCGCCTCGAAATGGAGGTGCCGATATTCGCCGAATTCACTCACGTGAAGAGGTGTGCGCCAGCCACACTAGCCCACTGGGCCAGCGATCCTTCTAAAAATTACGAATTAAGAAAGATCGACTAAATCGTCTCTATTCTGATGATGAGAATAATGAAAATGCAAACTTCGTCCCGCGGGTTCACACTTGACAGCGTGCTTTGAGGCGATTCTGTTTCTGGTTTGGTTATAAGCTCCACTGAAAATGGGAAGGTTCTGGGTTCGATACCTGGACCAGGCGGATTTTTTCGGTCGCGCACCAGTCACCTAGCTGCGTTTGAAGATTTGTGTTTCTCCTTTGTCCCTCTTGTTCCCCTTCTACAGGGATTATTTTCGTCATTCTTGTCCAGCTGGCTTGCAACTTTGCACTCAATTGCATTTTAATAAAAACTCGTTCCTCCCTTCTTCTAGTATCCGCTTGGGGGCGCGTCAGTAGAACGAAGGAAACCGCGCCGTTGCTACCCTTTTTTCCTTCTTTTTCCTTTGCGTGACTAGGCTACATAAGTAAGCTTAAAATAAATCCGATTCACGTGATATGATTGCTCACACTGCGATTAACACCGCAGCCAACTCGTGAATTCAATGAAGCTGCGTGAGAAGGTGCCTCGTGAGGGCGTTCCTTATTTTTGTACCTTTGCCACCAACGAATCGACAAATCACGCACAATAAAAAATAAAACGCAACAACGCAGAGTTTCAAATGCACAAACTCACAAAAGACGACGAGCGCCAAATGGCATTGCTCGAATGTCTCCATCGGGTTTTATGGCTGACTGCGGTTAATGTGAAACGGAATGTATAAATGGGGAAAACCTGCTCAAGGTATATGATTTATTACCTTAAGGCGTAAAAGCAATTATGCGGCAATTCAATTTTATGGCTCAAATTCTTAGTGGTTATGTACGAGTCTTCTTTTTGAGCTGGTCACGACAATAACAACTTCGAGAGCGCGGCTGAGAAACTTTTGATAGTTCTATCGTATTTATAATTGGGAGGCAGTAAAAACCACAAATTTCTAATTATTACGTGGGGTAATAAAAAATATATCGTCGAAATCGCGTCTATATCACGCCAATTGTAGGAATACATCAGTCCGTCTGCAGCATTTTTGGACTTAATGGTAGCCCCCTCGGATGTTCATTAATTATCTATAAATCGTGAAT